ATTTTCATCTTGCCATCAAACCTCAAATGTCCCTCTTGGATAGCTTTCGGATTCGCATTACGAACACTCGGCAATCATTAATAGAATGAGAATTAGTGTTATGAAAGCCACAATATTTTTGTCTTTAACTCCTTGAGGACGTAACATAGGATGTCCTTCGGTAACTTGATGCGTCCTTCCTTTATCAACAATGCAAAAAGTCCGTCATGCATTTTAGTAACATCAAAATCATAGGTTCCCTTTTGTTGTTTCAACCAGCGTTGACTAACTTGAGTGGGTTCCTTGTCCCAATTTAACTCAAATTGCAGCTATCTCATCTTCATCAATATACTCGATCGCTTCATCCGTAAAAGCCCCGATACACCTCATTAGTGGCATTGTTCTTCCGAAAGCGATTATCTCTCCACGAACCCTTGGGCTTGATTACTCATAGTCGCTAAACGTCGTGCAAGTTGACCAAGATCATCAAACTCTAAACCGAACAACTTCTCCCCGATATTTGGCAACATTCCTACTATAGCAATTCCGGTGAAGTTGATCATCCGGTAAATTTAGAGAATAACACATATTCTTGGTCTCCCTAAATCTGCGAAGATACTCCAATGGTGTTTCATTTGTTCTCATCCTCGGACTCATGAGATCAACCAATTTCTTCTCATTGGTACCCGTATAGAAATATGAATGAAACTTCGCTCTAGTTCTGCCCACGTACCAATGGAATGAGCCGGTGAGAGACGTGAACCATGTGAAAGCCGGTCCTGTAAGAGACAAAGGAAAATATCGAATCCTCCATGCTTCATCCGCTGGCTTCTCCAAGTCGCATTAAGTACCGATCGATGTGCTCTATGGTACTAGTATCATCTTGACCGTAAAACTTGGTCAAATCTGTTGGAGGCTTCACCCTTGGAGGCAATGCCACTCTGTTGTACCATTCTGGATAAGGAGATTTGTATGAATAGGATTGATTCTTTGGCTTCAAGCCGAACTGATTCTGCATCATATCAGCCATCCTGTGCATCAAAACATCAATACCTGGATCCTGGTTTCCTTGTACTTGCACTCCAGAAGGCAATCCTGAAACACTTCTATACCCTGGGTTTGGCACAGCATTGACAGCACTGTAATCAGTAAATTCTTGATATCCATCTCCATACATATTCTTCTCAGAATCTATTTGATGCCGGAGAAACTCTATAAAGTTGAAAGTGGCACTTCTCCTGTGGTACCAAATGTCATCCGGCCATAAGTGGGATGTGATTGCTTTTTCAGATTGTGAGTCAATCCACCTATATTTGAAGGCGGCGCTACTTCCTTTCCAACAGTGCTTCTCTTGATGCTTTGGAACATTGAAAAGCATCGGCCCACTAAGTGGTCCAACATTTTCCTCAAGTATTTATCAACCATTGGGCCAAAAGTACTGATCATGATTGCCCGAAAGGTATTCAGAAAAGCCGTGTGATGGTTTGTCATGGTTTCTCCCATAGCTTTATAAACCAGGGCTGCCATCTTCTGAGCATCCTCCTCTTCAGTGTAATCAGTTTGATGCGGAAGAAGAACCCTTGGCATTGACTGCTTTTGAAATACTTTATTGCTCTTGTTTTTGGAAAAAGACATCAAGCACTTCCGTTGGTATTGCTCACACGCTTGTAGCACTAAATCCTTGTAATTATCTGGCAATTCTGCCATGCTTACATCCAGAACATGATCATTGTTGATCTCAGATGCCATCTTGAACTAGCAGATTGTCCCACCGGGCGTGCCAAAAAGTGTGTTGACACAAAATGTGACGCACTGTGCCACACACACAGCAAGCCGAAAAGCGTAGCTTCAATCGGATGCCCGGGTGCTTCGTGATCCGGAACGTGCCAGTCAGTTTGACCTGAAAGAAACTGACAAGGGATAAAACAGTTAAATGTCAAACCGGAACATGTCGGGTGAGACCAGACAGTTCCGTATATACGGCCCTGAAGCCACTTACAACGACATACAGCTATAGGAAGCTGTCTGCCAACAAGTTTATAAATCATTCGGCTAATCGTAAGATGGACATACGTAAAGATCTGATTGCCGAATGCATATGCATGGGAAGACATGTTTGAACAAGTGAAATTGATTATGCGTTAATGCATATCCAAGCTCAGCAATCCAGCCGAGTTGGGGTCCATGAAGAAGGAACGTGTAGATAAACATGATTAAGCCAATCTAAAACTCAAATCGCACACACGACACCTAGTTTCGTCAAAAACTTAAACGTGATTAACATGCATGAACCCACAACATGTGACAATCTAGATTAAAATAATTTGGCCATCACGAGCATGTTATCTATTTGCAAAGGTATTATGAAAGTAATGATCATTGAAGCTCGAATAAAACCATAGAAGAGGGCCGAACAATATCAATCTAGATTGGGCAAAAGTGTGTTACAAATATATAAAATATTTAAAACATGCAACACAGATAACTTGATGAATCTATTTAGATTTTGCCGTAATCTAATAGAGCCGATAACCATCTTGCTTCCACTAAGCATATTGAGTAAACGCTTTTGCGCCTTGGTATCTACTCATAAACAAAGTATAAGCGAAGACTTCTTGATTGTCAAGCAAAGATCCGCCGCACGATCATTGAAAACAAACAAGACTACTTGCATCACGTTTAAATCCACCGCATGATACTAAACATGATAACAAGGTTGTCGGAACTTACGGAGGTCGACGGATCGATGACTCCTCTCGAAGAACTCGACGACCACGACAAAAGGACTCGAAAGTTGTTGGCACGGGGCGGTTGTATTGATTTGGTTGTGAACGCCTATTACAATGGTCGAGGGTCAATATTTATACCTAGACGAAACACGAGTCCTAAAAGACTACGATTTACAAAGGAACTCTTTAAATAAACTTGGAAACTACGATTCCTTGCCCCAAACTCTCAGAGTCCTTTATTATTACAACTTTCATCTTCTCGATCAGCTTTGCTTGCCATCTTCTGCTTTCCCGAATGGAGTTATCGCCTTCCAGAATAACCGACCGCACAAGCATTTAGCCGACCGCTTGCGTTATTTGCCGAACACTCTTCTTCCTGCATGTGGGTCCACCTGTCATCTTCCAGAATTGACCAAAATCCAGTGTTAACAGAATCCCAAACTATATATGGATTGTCTGTATGACTGTCTGTACACTGTTTAATGCATGCATCCATCTATGATCAATCATGCATAAGATCTCAATATATCATTTTTTTTTGCCCTTTGATACAAATGGGATTAAGCATAAACAAGACGACAAAAGCAAATTTCTCTTGAACCATCAATAAAATATATGATTACAACTTGATAATCGGTACAAGACGACAAAAGCAAATTTCTCTTGCCCTGTTCGCTTCGTTGAAAAGCTATGGCTGAAAGTACTGTTCGCTTATTTGTTGTGAGAAAAAAACAATGTTCGTTTGCTGAAAAAGTACGGCTCACAAGACAAGCTGCATCTATTGCGCCATAGGTATATGAATACTAATATTGCAGTATTGTTTGTGATCCGGCTCTAAAAGTAGTTGTCCGTTCTCCAGTTAGTTATATTCTGTGTTCCAATTATTTCCTTGTTGACCATGATGCAAAGGATTTTTTTTCGTTTTGGATCAAATGTTTCCAGTTTGCTAGAATAGATATGCTCTTTTGAATCAGGTTAACGACCATACCATATAATGAGTACCTAATTTTCGTTTGCCACATCTCTAATCCCTTCGTTGTGTAAATAGTTTCAGTTCGTCAACTATGTCTGTTACATATAGCCTTACCCAACAGTATGATGGAACCATGCTTGCTTACTGTTCTGGTTTCTGGGCGGAGCCTACTAAAGGTTGTAGCAGATCCTATTTTTAAGCAATCCCACTGTTGTTTGGCTATGCAAAGCGTTTTTGGAAGGTACCAACTTCTGTGCCTTTCCACTTATCTTCCCAACATATACCAGCAACTCATTAGGTGGTTAGTCGAAACTTACTTCTATATCCATTTTCTTCGAGTTTACTGACCTTGTGCTTCTTGCTTGTTGCACCTGACGCCGACGATCGGCAGCACGTTTGCCTCACCATTTTGCAACGTGCGGCTGATCCTGCTTCCCGCCAACATCCTCAGCGTGCACTTACTATACCGGTTTTATAGGCCTTGGATGGGTTTCAGACTACCACCAAAAAGGAAACCCTCCTGTTCAGTCAAAATGTCTCACGACCTGATCTTTGTATATTACCCAATCTATACTTATAGGCCCAACTGTAATATATACATCCTAAATATATATCTATGTACCTTCTTATTCACCGCACTTCGTCCAATTTCAAAATTATCATTGTACCTGCGTATGCGCGCCCATGCACTAGTCATATTCATATATGAAACTAAGGTGGTGTTTGGATCCAGTGACTAAAATTTAGGAGGTGTGTCAGGAGGATGTTGCATGGGGTGTTCGGATACTAATAAAAAAACAAATTACATAATCCGTCAGTACTCCACGAGACGAATTTTTTAAGCCTAATTAATCCGTCATTAGCACATGTTACTGTAGCACCGCACATTGTCAAATCATGGGATAATTAGGCTTAAAAGATTCGTCTCGCAAATTAGTCACAAACTATGCAATTAGTTTTATAATTAGTCTATATTTAATACTCTATGCATGTGTTCAAACATTTGATGGGACAGCGACTAAAATTTTGGAGGGGCAACCAAACACCGCCTAAAGATGATGTAAACTGCTACCTTATGTGGTAGCTGACTATTGTCTAATAATTAATGACCGTTTTAATTAGGTGGGCAGGCACTCCGAGCCGCGGGGCCTGCTAGCTGCTGCACATCACCATCTCCATGACTCCATGAGTTTCTTTATTCCTCGGCGCCGATCGTGTCGTTGTAACCAACCAAAGGGGAAAAAAATCGATCATTTATTATATTTGATCGAGACAATCAACAATAAGAGTAGTGATCGAAGAGAGAAGCTAGGATCGCGATGGATCCATCGTTGATGGTGTCGTGCAAGCAGGTGTTGTGCGCCGAGGATGCCGTGCAGGCGGTGCAGCGGCGGCGGACCCATGCCCGGCGCTGCTACAGGCCGGCGTCCGACGCCGAGTTCCTGCGCTCCATTGCCGACAAGACGCCCGGGAGGGACGACGATGAGGAGGAGGCGATGAGGAGGAGACGGCAAGTGTACCTCAAGAGCTATGCCTTTTCCACCAAGTGGGAGGCCGCCGAGGCCGACGGTAAGACCGCCGGCCGAGGAGGTGGACGTGCCCTCGTCGACGCCGTCCTGCCGCCGACGCTGCTCCGGCGCCGCAAGACTACTCACAATGATGCAACCTGCAGCAGCAACAAGACCACTGCTAGCTCTAGCTTCACTTCCACTTCCAACCCCAGCATGTGGTGCCCCAGGAACGCGGGCAAGGTGCTGTCCCGGGCTCCCGGCTGCTCACTCGCCTTGTTTCCTGCGCATGCAACCCTGGTGCTGCTGCTTCGTCTTCCTAGTCGTACTACTATCTTCGTTCCCATCGTACTACTATCTTCGTTTCGTCAGGCAAGCAATAACCAAACTAATTAACTCTATACTAATTTGTTAATTGCACCATGCATTGATTAATCGTCATCAATATATACATACAGCCGTTGTAATAATTAATTGTAGCTAGCTAGTGCTCGGTACTTTTTTCATTATATAATGGAACAAGCTACCAGCTTCTACCATAGTACTCTGTACTTATATTAGGCTCGTCTTCAGAATCAGATTGACTGATATTGTCTTCATTTCATTCGATATATATAATGCCTTCGCTGTTGATTGCCACCCCCTGCTGCTGCATCTGCCCCTGTGGCGATCATATGAATCCAGACGAGTAGTGATGGAGTCAGGAATTTTTAGAAGTCTAGAATTTTATTGTGCAAAAAATATTTACTTAAAAAGTATAATATTCTTCTTCAGCACAAATAGAAAATTTATTTTATACTCCCTCAGTACTCGTAAAGGAAGGCGTTCTGGGCTCTTGGCCCGTTTTCTCAAAGGATGTCGTCGCACGCTCGGAGGGGAGGAGTTGGACGCGATTGCCCCTGCGTTTCGGCTTCTGTCCGCACTAATCACGCGCTCGCAATCCACCGCATTGATCTCGCCTCTTCGTTTCACTTGCCACCGCACGATCGCTTCAATTTCCTTCCTCGCGCCGCACGCTCGCTTTCCTTCTTCGCCGCGCGCCTTCCTTCCTCGCCGCTCGCCGCACGTCTTCGTCGCCCTCGTGCCACGCCTTCCTTCCTCGCCGCTCACCACACGTCTTCCTCGCCACTCGCCGGTCTACTCCCTTCCTTCCTCGCGCCATGGAGTCCGGCGCTGTGGGGGTATTAACCCCTATACCCTTACGGCTAAGATTGGGCCGGCCCGGACCAGGGGGTTCGGTCCACCAGAAGACGACGCGCGGCCCAGCCGATCTGCTCGGAGTCCCGCGCAAGGAATCAAGGCAGATTTGGAGATCAAGCAAGATCTTGGTCGGTTAGAATAGTAATCCTTATCTGGCCACCTATGGCAATTGTAACCGGTTAGGATTAGTTTCCAGATCAGTAACCCTGCCCCCCAGATTATATAAGGCGGGCAGGGGACCCCTCTAAAAAACATCTCTCATTGACATACAACAATACAATCAGACGCAGGACGTAGGTATTACGCCTTCTTGGCGGCCGAACCTGGATAAAACCTCGTGTGTCTTGCGTCACCATCTTGTTTGTGGCTTGCGCATCTGTCTGCCGACAATCTACTACCTTGGGCATACCCCTGGGTAGACTGCCGACCATATTTCGTCGACAGTGGCGCGCCAGGTAGGGGGTGTGCGTACTGCTCTCCAAGCAAACAAGATGGTCATCATCCCCGGCTTCATGGCTACGCCGAACGGCCTCACGTTCACCATCGGTCAGATCACCTGGACCACCGGCTCCGACGACTTCATCGCCACGATCACGGAGGAGGCGCGGATTCAATCTGCGTCGACCGCTGCTTCACCTGCATCGGCTACGGCTCCGACCACGGTGGATACGGCTCCGACCACAAAGGATCTGGCTTCGACCACGGTGGATCTGGCTCCGACCACGATGGATCTGGCTCCGACCATGGAGGATCTGGCTTCGACCACGGTGGATCTGGCTCCGACCACGGTGGATCTGGCTCTGACCACGGTGGATCTAGCTCCGACCACGCCCGCACCGCTTTCAGCCACGCCGACAATCCGTCGCTCGCTTCCCCGCTACAAAGGGAGGCAGATCGACAACACCGACCTGCTCGACTCCATCGATCGGGTCGGCACCAAGCTCGCTGAAACCCTAGCTCTGGTAAGTTCAATTCAAAGTGGACCTAATGAGTAGGTAACCGTTTCCCACAACAGATCTACCCGACCGGCTCGGGCCAGTCGTCTTGCACGACTTGGTACAGATCTCGTGGTCATATCTACTCCTGAAGGGCGCTCCGCTCGTCGCCGGCCAGCCTCTACGACAGGTCTCCAGCTCTCCGAGTACGAAGCCTTGACGGAGAACTATCAGGCCTAGCCCTACGGCCTATGAAACGCTGCCTCCAACTACGCGTATAATATACAACGCCGCTTGGATCTGTGTCGACCTCAGTCGAAGCCGCGAAATTTCGTCAACATGGTCCGGATTGAGGATTATCAAGAAGGATCCGTCCACACAGTCCAAGAAGGTGACTCCAGCTCCTCGTCTGGCATCGCATCCAATGCCTCCGACCACACTGAGCTCCAGCGTCACGATGATGAAGGCGTCGAATACGATCTGAATATCCCAGACCACGCCCCGGGGTTCCCACAATTCCTGTCATTCCCACCAAGATGAGGGGATTTGATCAATGTTGTCAGTAATGATGAACCACCAGCAGTCGGCGAAACAGAACAGGAAAGGATTGCACGCGAAGCACGTAATATTGACCGGTTTAATCGCCGACAAATTGAAGCCGAAGCAGAAGAGGAGGCACGACGCATAAGGGTCCAGCCACACGACCTCAACAATGCTTTCGACAGGGTGGGGGACAAACAGGTCTTCAGGACTCCAAGCGCCAACGTAGCCGTCGCTATGGCGACAATGCAACGGCTACCCAATACCCCGGAAACTCAGGCAGTTCGCGATGAAATACAAGCTTATCTGACGGCTGCTATGGCCCAGACCGCAGAGATTGTAAATCAAGCCCGGGCTCCCTCCGTCTCAGTCGAGTCAAGCCACAGCCGCCAGTACTCAAGCCGCTCACAACCACCCAACCTACGTGGCTCGCACAACAACGACCCATCAGACAACCGTCAAGGAGGAAACGGTGGCCATGATGGCAGTCGAGAGGACAACCGCCGTCGACAGGACAATCGCCGCAACGTCCGAGACGACAACCGCCGAGACAACCACGGTCGCAGGGCTAATCTGGATGGCAACCGAGATCACCGCGATGGCAATAACGATCTCCGCCACTACCTCGGAGGACGTGATCTGCGTGATCGCATCAACCAGAGAGCCAACGATCGTGCATCCCACGAAAGCTATCGCCGTATGGAATATGATACTGCCCACGGCCCGCCGGGTTTGAAGCAGTTTACTCCGCACCTTCGCCAAGTCATATGGCCCAAGAACTTCAAGCTCGAAAAACTTCAGAAGTATAACGGCAAGGAGAACCTCGAATTATGGGTCATGCTCTACGAAACCACGTGCAGATCAGCCATGGCTGACGAGCACGTCATGTCTAACTACTTTCCAGTAGCTGTTGGTCATGCAGGTCACCAGTGGCTGGTCAGCTTGCCGGCAAACTACTTCGATTCCTGGCAAGAACTCAAGCAAGCTTTCATCGACAACTTCATTGCCACTTGCGAGCAACCCGGCAACAAATATGATCTGCAGCGGATTCGAGATCGAAAAGATGAGCCGCTGTGCGAGTACGTCCGGCGTTTCTCGGAGATGCGCATCAAGGTCCCATCAATCTCCGACCACGAGGCAATCGAGGCTTTCATCACTGGCCTTCGCTTCCACGATGCTCTAAGGGACAAGCTCCTTCGCAAGAGGCCTGAGTCGGTCACAGCGCTCCTAGCCACCGCTAAGAAATATGCCGATGCCGACGACGCTAAAAAGATAATTATCGAAGAAGCAGCAAGGGTTCCGCGCTCCAACCACCCCCCACAATGCGACGACTACCGCGGCAACCATGGTTGGAGCGACAATTTTGACCGCCGCAACCAGCGCAACAACTCCCGCGACCACCGTGACCAACGTAATCAGCAGCGTAACCGCCGTGACGATTACAGGGGCAAGCGTGCTCGAGAAGACGATGGCAAAGTCAACACCGTCAAAAAAGGGGGCGGACGTCGTAACTACGAAGAAGATTACGCCAAAGCATTGAAGGGGCCCTGCCAGCTCCATCCCAAGTCAAACCACACCTTGGAGAACTGCCGCGTTCTCAAGTCTATCTACACGCGTCAACAGGCTCCGGATACGTTCGACAAGCCTAACGATGCAGGGGAACAGCGTAACAAGGACAACGACGATGACGACGCAGATCCCCGTCACAAGTATGTCAAGCCAACCGATCGCGTGCACACCATCATTGGAGGCAAAGTGTCCATCGAGACCAAGCGAGAACGCAAGCTGCTTACCCGTGCTTGCTTAAACGTGGCCAACACCGACAACCTTATCGCTGATCCACGGCTCCCTCCTTGGTCTCGCCACGAGATCTCCTTCAGCAGAAAAGACCAATGGGCCGCAATACCCGAGCCAGGACATTTTCCCCTAGTCCTTGATCCTTGTATCAACAAAGTTCAATTCGATAGAGTGCTAATTGATGGCGGCAGCTCCATCGATATACTGTTCAAGAACAGTCTGCCGGCCCTGAAGATAACCCAGGCGGATCTCAAGCCATACGAGGCACAGTTCTGGGGCGTTCTCCCCGGACAGAGCTCTACACCTCTCGGGCAGATCACGTTACCTGTGCAGTTCGGGAACCCAGACCACTTCTGCACCGACTACGTCAACTTCGTGGTCGCTGACTTCGATGGTACCTACCATGCTATCCTGGGTCCACCATCGCTCACCAAGTTCATGGCCATACCTCATTACAGGTATCTGGTGCTGAAGATGCCTACCGAGAAGGGAGTTCTAACTCTCAGGGGCAATGTATACGCAGCTTATACCTGTGAGGACGACAGCTTCAGAGTAGCAGAGGCTCACGACCTCTCTATTCGCATGGCCGCGACCATGCTCGATGCCAGGAAGACCTCGGCCGACCACCTGGAGATCCCAGAGCTCGAGGCTCCACGCAAGAACACCAAGTCCAAGGAGCACAAGGTGATCCAGCTGGTCAACGGCGATCCCAGCAAAATGGCCCTTATCGGGGCCAACTTGGATCCCAAATAGGAAGACGCGCTCGTCAGGTTCTTGAGGAGCAACGTGGATGTGTTCGCATGGAAACCTGCTGACATGCCCGGTGTACCTCGGAACTTGATCGAGCACTCCTTGAATGTCAACGGCAAGGCCAAACCTATCAAGCAGAAGCTACGACGGTTCGCTCACGACAAGAAGGAGGCA